AGGTAATTCACTGACTGAATCAGGTGTGTTAGAGAAGGAAAAAAGTAAAACATGCAGGGCTGCGGACCTCGAGGACCAGGTTTGACTTTTATACTGTTAACGACTTCAAACAGGTGCCATTAATACAGGTAATGAGTGGGGGAAAGAGGAGCCTCTTAAAAAAGAAGTTACAGGTCTGTGACAGCCAGAAATCTTGCTTGTTTGTAGGTGACCAAATACTTATTTTCCACCATTATTTGCAAAAAAAAATTCTTAAAAGTCAGACAAAATGATTTTCTCAAATTTTTTTTCACATTTTGTCTCTCATAGTTGAGGTCTACCTATGATGTCAATTACAGGCCTCTCTCATCTTTTTAAGTGGGAGAACTTGCACAATTGGTGACTGACTAAATACTTATTTTCCCCACTGTACCTATGATGTCAATTACAGGCCTCTCTCATCTTTTTAAGTGGGAGAACTTGCACAATTGGTGACTGACTAAATACTTATTTTCCCCACTGTATTTACAGTATAATGGAAGCTTCCTGTTGATTTTTTCAATTCCAGCTTCAACATAGATGACTTTAAAATGTTCATAAGTTGCCGTAAGTTGTCTAAAATGTCAGCGTGACAGGGCCTTGAACAGACAACCGTCTTGTGTTGAGAAATGTGAAATTTCAAAATTTCATCTGTATCTGTAAAAAATCACTGAGTTGTAGGCCATTATTGAATCAACTAATATTGGTTAGCTGTGCCAGCCAGCCTGAATCAGGTTGTAGATGTACAAATAAAACGGCTTTCTAAGACTTTTAATCAAATCTGTTTAGTAGTTCTTGAGATATTTTGCTAACAGACAAACAGAGTTGTTTCCAACACTTAATGCTAAAGTTCTGCGCAAAGATTTTATCCAATTATTAGTGATAGGTGTATGTGTTGTGAACTCAAATGCACTACCACACCACATTTTAGCACCTGCACCGTCAGTTAGCTTTGTGGCTGCAGCTTTAGATAACACTGACTCAGTGCAAGGTCACTGATATCGAGTGATATCAAACAATATCAGGCTCTCATTCGTTGGCTGTCGAAGGCTCCGTGTTTATACAAAACAAAAGTCTGCTTTCAGACTCCTTTGACTGCAAAACCCCTGGAGTTACCTGTTCTTATTATTCCCAAGCTGCCCTCTCCAGTGAGCTCCCATCCCTGTAATCAGCCTGAGAGAGATAACAGCCTGGGCTCCGGCAGCTGCCTCCCTGCAGTCAAACTGAACCTGGCACAGAGATCTGCTCGGGCTTTGGCTTTGTTTAACACATGTTCTGAAGATTTCTTGGGAGTTGTGTTACTTTGTTTGCGTGTTTAACCTTGCTTCCCTCAAACCCCAGGAAACAAAGACCCTTTCAGTTCTTGTGTCTGAACTGAGAGCTTTGTTTTCCTGCAGGTTGTAGAGGTTGTGTGTCCTGCAGGTGCACAGAATAAATAAATCTGTTCACATCTGATGTGGATACATGCATGTTTTGTATAGATTTTTAAGCATCTCAGATGTGTTTGTGTTTTTTTCTTTAATTTCCCTTTGCCATAAAAGTAGACAATCATGAAATTGCATGGGTCTGTGCACTTGTACGTCTTTGTTAGCAAAATACCTCATGAACCACTGGATGGAATTTAAGAAATGATCAGAGACTAATTATTTGTACATCCACTCAGCACCATTCAAGATGGCCGACCTATTTGACCCAGAAGGCAGCATTAAATAGTTTGGAACTGGATTTTATTTAGTTTCAGGTCTGGATAATTATAAAACAATGAAAACAGAGTTGGTGTTTCCAAACTTTATTCCCGGTTCTTTTTCTTTCTTTTCAGAACATTTTTAAAATGCTCTAATAAAAAAATCAGTTTTGACCAATTTACCACATCGAGCCTTGAGGTTATATTGTGTCCATTAAAGGGGCAATATTATGTGTTTCTCAGGCATACATATAAATACTATACCATAATAAAGTATCTATGTCACCTTTAGCTGTTATTAAAATGATGTTTTTATGTTTAAATAGAAAATAAACTTATCTTCTCATCACTTCCTGATGCATCTCAGTAATCCAGGTAAAAAATCAAAAATAAAAAAATAGTATAGGTCTTCTGGACGGTTCTTCTC